AGGGATGGATTGCGGCAGGTCACCCCCGTGGAAGAGCTTTTGATGTCCCGGCCTAAGACACCTTTTTCGGGCACTCTTTTTCTTCCATCCGTCCCACTCTTCGGCCGCCCTCATGTTTTTTTTTGCCGTTTAACGAACCGATGGAGCGAGCATGGATGATTTAGGTGCTGAAGGGAGAGGAGGGAGGCGCGCACATGAGGAATGGACGGAAAGCGCGGGCGGATCGACCGACAATTTCGAGGGTGCCGATAGCGCGACACGGCTAATTCGCGAGAGCGAATTGAGGAAGCTATTGAGGAATCTCTATCTGTCTTTGAATACAACAGCAGCGATTCTATTAATCAAATACTTTCTAGTCAAACGGATGGCTTTCAAATGTAATTCTTCGTTCTTGAAAAATCTGTCGAGATCATGGAAACTGGAAGGGATGAGTGCCCGTCGATTTCCTGAACGTAAAACGTGGCAAACGTATTGGGTAGTCGCGCATATAAATACAGCCCTGCGTGAAGAACCGTCGACGTCGTCGACTTGCGCCGTCCGGACGCACGGCGCCAAAATCGATCTTGAAAAGGGAAAGTGCCAGCGGCGTGACTTCACACACACACGCACACATGGGAAAAACCGCTGTGTGGAAGCCGCTGGCCAAGGCGGTCACATATTAAAAATCCAGGAAGTTTCTGTGGTGCGCCTCCCCCATCCCTCCATCATTCTCCATCAAAACGAGCCTGATGTAACGTACGTTAAAATATCGAAATTGAAAAGATAAAACGTCTCCATTTTTCCGAGGAAAATCATAGTCGCAATTAGAAATTTTATATCTTATCTATCCGCCACCGATACCTCTGTATATCAGCGTAAATATTGATAGAATGAAGAAGAAAGAAGATTGAACGAGACACGTCCTCAGAAATCTCAGTTTCACGCATCGATCACGGTGTGAGATAGAACCTCTTTTAGAATATTGCTATAAGTGTCATCTATTTTCTTATACATATAATTTATACGACGTTTTATCCGACGTTGAAAAATTCGAATGGCAAATCACAGTTTTTACAGCATCGGAATTGTTTCGAAGCGAGAAGTCCGGCCACTGACCGATATTTTCTAAGGTAACACGCGTTTTAAGTACATCCGTCCAATTATAAGTCTTCGTATTTTTCTTGTCGTCGAATTCTGTCCCCAAATTCGATTATCAGCAGAACACATCGATTCTAATGTTGAGCGTGTCGGAGAGCGGGAGGAGACGTCGTTGCGCGATTCGACATGAAGATCGCGTGTAGGTAGGGTAACCTGCGCGACCGCATGGCACGTGCGTCGCTTTCCAGTTACGCCTGCGTGTGCGTGACGCACGCACGTGCGCACGGTGTCGGCCGAGACGTCGTCGACACGACGGTGCCTAAAGTGCAATGTCGCAGGAAGAGTCTTTCAGTTTCGTTATTATTGTCCAACAATCGATGGACTATAATTGTTTTTATTCCGTCAATACAGTTCAACGTAGAAATATATTAACATAGGTCTGTATCTTAAACTCCCTTTTGACGATAAATTTTTTCAAGTGACCACTTTTAGAGGCCTCTAAGAGTGGTCACTTGATTGATCAAGAGGCCACGTTATTAAGGCATTTTTATAGAGAAAAGTGAGTTGAGAATATGGACTATAGTTCGTATGTTATTACATGCGTATCGTATGCGGTTTCAAAATAAAAATGACGAGAAGATAACGAGCAATTGAAAAACAAGAATGAATTTAAAAGAAAACTTTTTGGAGCGTATTCGCAGGTATTTGTATTCGGAGTAAATATGAAATATGATTTGAAATTTTAAGTTGTTTGACTGTCTCGAAATAGTGATACAGGCGAAAGCATACCGAGGGAAGGTCCGTTTTTAATCAAAAAATGATAATGTCGTATCGGTATGTGAAAAAAGTCCGATATCCTCGTCGCCGTACTATCTATGGATAAGGCAGATAGATAAGGTAGAAGCGCAACAGGGGGTTGTTAATATTGACACTGGCGGCTAGCTCTAGCCGTCACCCTATTTCCTTACAGTGTCGACAGTGTGTGTGTTTGCGTCAGGCTCAACTTCCAGTAATTTTTCCGCGATAAACGCGCGCATGGAAAGAGTTAGTACCTCGGCACCGGAAACCGACAACACGCGTCACCGGATATCGAATTAAGGATATCACGAAACGCGGTGTAATACGCGGTAGGAAGGGTACGCCAACAACCGATCCATAGAAATGAGCGATAAATCTGTATCAAAATCGTAAAGATCCATATTTCGTCATGATTCGAAAAATTCGAC